ACGCAGCTCCAGAAAATAGTCCCCGGCTAGGCAACTATCTAACAGTGCTGCGTAACTGCAGAAGAGTCAGGCTTTAAACAGGAAAATGATCAAAACTCGTTTGGTCATTTTTGAGCAAAATGCTAATGATCTAATCTGACTCAATTATCTATGCTAAGCTAAGAGATTAGCTGAATGGATTAAAAATGGTAAAACTGGACTGTTTAGCTTTACAAATGAGCCTATTTCCAAAGATAGTGCTTTTAAGAGCTTGTCCACACAAAACACACCACTTAGCTTAGCATTCACACTGTTTATCAAGACTGACATCAAAGATAAAAGAAAAACTCAAACATACTGTCGCTTTCATGACATATTTTTAGACTTAACTATGCAAAACAATGTAGTTTGTGGTACATGTGCATTAGGCATGGGATGATAACCAGTTTCAAGGTATACTGCGGTTTGGAAAAGTCAAGGTTTTAAAACCGCCAAAACTTTCTGTAATACCGTTCCAAAGGTATGTGTAAGATTTTTTATGTACTAATGAAGACAGCAGAAGTTAATGATTCATTTGAATTATTCAGCCTGACATGTTTACTGCTCCAAAATATTTTAAATCTTTAAAAAGTACATATGTATTGTGTTCAAAGGGGGAAAAAATTTTTGTTTTTTACCCAGACATTTAAAAACAATATATTTTAGGAGCAGTGAGCATAACAGCGTCATATTTTTATCCAAGGTTATCATACCGTCAGAATCTTATACCGGCCAACGCCTAATGTGCATACATGTTATGGCATTCTTATCATTTGGAAACTCTTAAAGAGCTTAGAAATGTGTCAACACAGCAACAGGGATCCTCCATCTGCTGCAAGTAGATGCAGGTATTTTGCCTATATTGAACAACAGGAAAAAAAAAAAAAGTACGCTTAAGCATTCTGTCCTTGTCATGGTCACATCTTCCGACATCATGTTCTGTTTTTAGGGTGTTTAGATGGCTTTGACCATGTTCATAATTGCTAGTTGTCCTGAGACCAACATTTTTTATGATGACCCAGGGACAACAACTCCATCAGCCAATCAAACGCTATGACGTCCTCATTATGCGCCCCTGCAAATCCCCCAAAAAAATAAAATAAAATAAATAAAAAGCACCTGCATTTTTTACCAGTGAAGAGGACAAGTGGAAAGGTAAGACCACAAGATTTCTCCTATCTATTTACAGAATGATCGTAAAATAAATATTTGTAAAAATGGACTCAACCTGGATTTTACAGTGAATTACAGTACATCAGCGTCTCGAATACTCTCGTTTGTTTAAACAAGTGTTTTGTTCTGCATTTCAGGCGTTTGTCTTTGAATGAGACTGAATGCGAAAACAAGTATTAGACATTTTTGCTGTCGCTTTAAATTAGAAAAAGGCCAGGTTTTATCGCGTTGGACAGCTAGGCACACTATTAATTTGTTATCTTGTTTTAATTTGAGCCAGAAAGTACATTAAAGCACATCAATCTAACGTTAGACTTGTATGGACAGCTAATTAGGCTAACTAATTTGTCAATGCAAACTAATGTTAAATGTTCGCTAAGCAGGACAAAAAGAGCAAATCTATAATCAAATATTTATTTTACGATCATTCTGTAAACTGATAGGAAAAAAATTGTGATCTTACCTTTTCACTTGTCCTCTTCACTGGTAAAAAAATGCAGGTGCAGGTTTTAGTGCACATAATGGGCACATAATGATGACGTCATGACGTTTGATTGGCTGATAGAGTTGTTGGACCTGGGTCATCATGAAAAATGTTGGTCTCAGGACAACTAGCACTTGGCAAAATCAAGATGTGCGTTCATATTTCAATCAAACCGCACTCTCAGCACTCTTTTCAACCCTCTCCATACACTTTGCTCAGAGCAAACTAAGGTTCAGATGCTAGCGCTCTTACATATACATACTTTCACTCATTTTCCTTCGGCTTAAGCCCTAATTTATCAAAGGTCACCACAGTGGAATGAACTGTCAACTATTCCAGCATATGTTTATGCAGCAGATGCCCTTCCAGCTGCAACCCAGTACTGGGAAACACCCATACAGTCTCACAATCTCACTCATACACTATGACCAATTTTAGTTCATACAATTCACCTATAGCGCATGTCTTTGGACTGTGGGGGAAACCGGAGCAACAGGAGGAAACCCACATGAACACAGGGAGAACATGCAAACTCCACACAGAAATGCCAGCTGCCCCAGCAGGGACTCGAATTGTGTCAGGATACATCAGGGACTTGTTGTGAGGCAACAGTGCTAACCACTGAGGCACCGTGCCACCCATATATATACAACATAACTGAATTAGCTTTAAAGGGGTAGTTCACCCAAAATTGAAAGTTCTGTCATCACTTGCTAATACTCAACATTCAACACAAAGGAAGATATAATGAGGAATCCTGAAACAAAAACAGCCATTGACTTCCATAGTATGGTTGCTGGTTTTC